CTGTGGTGTTAGGACCCACCTAATGGGAAAGCTGGGAAACCTGTGTGCTTGGAGGCCTGTGTAGGGAAACTGGGAGACCTGTTGTGGTTGAACCAGTGCCTGTTGGTAATATTGTAGGACCTGAACACTGAAGGTATTATACATCTGGGTATATACATGTTGTGGTTAAAGTATTTTGTTTAGAAGATGGGCTTTGTGTGTTGTGGGAAATGCATGCAATATAAAAAGCCTAGTTTTTCAGAAGATGGAGGTGCTGTACTGCTTCTTTAGAGAAGGTTTTGCATTGACTCTTATACAGTACTGATGTTATGTATTAAAGGCAGAGTTGTTGATTGCATGGTCAGTTATGATGATGGTATTGTTGTAAGGCAGATTATTTGGACATTGAAGTGTAATAAACATTTGTTATTGGGAAAAAATTGTGGCTAAGGAGTGCAGGTAAAGAACATCAAGTAGAGATAGTGTTTTAATTCTGGAGATGCTACTTTAGAAATGTAGTGTTTACATAGTATATAAAGTTTGTAAACATATTGCTGAAGTATGAACTGACAAGCAAATTATTGATAAATGAGCTAAAGCAAAAACCACCTAAATTTGTTCAGAAAAATGCCTTGGATGCATATTTATGATGCTTTTTACAAATTTGCTTGTCTTGCGATGAATATGCTACTGGGGGTGCATGACCGTTCTACCTCCTTGGATAACCATTATTAAGCTGCATTTGCATTTACCCTTCATATACTTCCTTCCTTTCTGCCTCTACTAAACATTATTGCCATGGCTGCTCTACCTATATTCTGACCATATGCTCCATCTTTCTGTATTGTACCCTGACTTAATTCATCTTGTGCCTGCTATGTTGATGTCTGTCTCTTGCTCACTCACTTTGCAATGCAGTGTTTTAGCCCAATATCTTCTTACATACAGCACAGTATATAATTTCAGAAAGTTGTCACTCTGTTAATTATCAAATTTCCTTTGAATGCAGTGTTAAATCTTGTAAAGTTTCAAACTTGGTAAAAGTAGATGAATGGTTCAGAGAACCGACATGTTGATAAATTAGACACATGTGCAACTCTTGGGTATCTTTATTGAGGAAACGTTTCGTTGAAGAATAGGAGGAGAATGAGGTAATCAGTCCCTCAACCTTGAGTCGATGTGGTCAGTCCATCAATCTTGAATAGAATACGGCATACGTGCTGAGAAGGAGCTTATAAACCATTGGCAGGAGAGGTGAAGCAGTCAGAGGCAGTGTAACACTCATTCAATGTTGAAGTAGGTCGTGCCCAAGAATTAGGCAAGCGAAGAATCTTAATACTTGGGAATTCTTCGCTTGCCTAATTCTTGGGCACGACCTACTTCAACATTGAATGAGTGTTACACTGCCTCTGACTGCTTCACCTCTCCTGCCAACGGTTTATAAGCTCCTTCTCAGCACGTATGCCGTATTCTATTCAAGATTGATGGACTGACCACATCGACTCAAGGTTGAGGGACTGATTACCTCATTCTCCTCCTATTCTTCAAGATTCTCCTTTGTATGGACTGATGAAGCCACTGTGTGGCGAAACGTTTCCTCAATAAAGATACCCAAGAGTTGCACATGTGTCTAATTTATCAAACTTGGTAAAAGTTTTCTGTTTGGAAAACTCCTGGGGTAACTTTTTGTTCACTGTCTTGATGTTTACTCAGATTCTGCTGAAGGTACTACATACAGGTGATCTTTTTCAATTAATTTTCTTTATCATCTCGGATTTTATTCCATAAAGAAATTGTTAATGTATTTAATGGTTTATTTCATCCCAAATGAAATTGAGTGTAATTATTTTCATTTGTCCAGCCTCAATTAATGTTCAGTTAGTCTGTGTAAAATGGCATTGTTATGGATTGACTGCTTATTCATTTTAGTCCTGGAGTTGCAATACTGCTATTACTATTACAGTAATAATAGTAATATTTCTTTTTGAAGTATGTTAGTGTTGCAAAAGTAGGTTAACAGCCTAATTCCCTACATGGAAAAGCCCATGGTCATGCAAATTATTTTGGACAATATAAATAAATATATATATTTATTTATTTATATTTTGTATAAATACATATTCACTATTCAGATTTTAGTTTTTCTCCTAGAGTTAATTTATAAAGGAGAGTGATGTGTATTGTTATATAATTGCATAATGTTCACCAGAGCTGTTCTGTGTTATCTTTCATCTTCTTCCTGACATTTATTAGTGTTTTATCTTTCCCAGATAAAAGTCATGTGCTTGATGCATTAAGAATTATTCATTGTGAGTAGGAATAAATGGTGATTACATACATATCCAGTTGGTCCAGTTTTTTCACTAAATTTTTCTAGTATAAACTTTGCTGATTGATACGTACTGACAAATGGTTTAAAGGATATGTGAGCAAACACTAGGACACGCTTACTACTAGAGAACCATTCAGTCCTGTGACTTAAATGACGAAAGTCCCAGGTCTGAAATGGTTTATAATTAGTATGTCTGATGGTTGCTCACTTTTTTTTTTTTTTTACCTAAATTTTCATATCTGCATATAGAAAACGAAATTTATTTTTGTTCTTTATAGGAATTCTTACATAATCTGCATGATGCTAGCCAGTAGAGTTGCCTGAAACCAAAACCAGCAGCTGTTCTATTTATTGCTACTTTCAAAGGAGGTTCATTTTTTAAGTTTACTCTACTCCATATTCCTGGTCCTCTTCTCTTTGAGGACCTACACTTTACATGACACTTGCTCTTTACTCTCCAACTGTTACATGTGAACCATTTGATTTGGACCCTTATAGCTCATAAACCAAGGTCTATGTGATTTAATTTTATTAATCAAGGTTTATATTATTTGTTAACTTTATAAAAATACATATCATTTTCATATAGTAAGCTGAAATTAACCTGCTATTAATATTGTTTTGTATAATGAGCCTGTTGTGGTTAAATTCATCTCAAACATTTTACATTTATGTCCTTGATTTACAGGAAGTGTCAGTCTTGAGAAAAATCTACAAATTTCACCTAGATTAGTGTAATGCAGATGTTTGTCTGATTATTGTGTGCATTTTGTATGTTATGCTTGAAAGGTTAATTAATACATTTACTTGTGTCATCTAAGCATTATAGTAGCTACATAATCTTCATAGATGATATAGTAAGATAGTTTTGAGAGGAAGTTATTTAGTTTTAATAATGATATAATGCAAATATAAATACTATAGCGTCAGGAATCCTTTTTATACAGTGTGTATATGTTATGTATGTATGTGTGTATATATATATATATGTCATGCCGAATAGGTAAAACTTATGATTTTGGCTTAAATAGCAATGCTCTTCTTGCCGAATAAGGCAAGTAAAAATTTGCGTGCGCAGTAATTTCACAAAAATCATTCTGAACCTAATGAAAAAGAAATATTTCATTGTGTTTGTGTACTAAATTATTGTAAACTTATCTAGAGTATATTTAGTTGGATTAGGCTAAATTAAATTGCGCTTGTTATAATAAGGTTAGGTTAGTTTTCTAAGGTTCTTTTGGTACAAAATTATTAATTGTACATTAACATAAATGAAAAGTATATCTTTAAATGTATAAGAGAGAATTTTAGAAAGGACTTAATTTTGCTAATTGACCAATTTTATCTGTTCGGCACTGTGTGTGTGTGTGCGTACATGCGTGCATGTGTGTGTGCTTGTGTGCTCGTTTGCATGTGTGCATACGTGCATGTGCACATGCATGCGTGTGAGAGAGTGAGAGTAAAAAAGTGAGAGTGAAGAAGTGAGAGAGTGTGAAAAAGTGAGAGTGAAAAAAGTGAGAGTGAAAAAAGTGAGAGTGAAAAAGTGAGACTGAAAAAGTGAGAGTGAAAAAGTGAGACTGAAAGTGAAAGAGTGAGTGAGAGTCAGAGTGAGTGAGAGTCAGAGTGAGTGAGAGTCAGAGTGAGTGAGAGAGTGAGTGAGAGAGTAAGAGAGAGAGAGTAAGAGAGAGAGAGTGAGAAGAGTAAGAGAGAGAGAGTGAGAGAGTAAGAGAGAGAGAGTGAGAGAGAGAGAGTGAGAGAGTAAGAGAGAGAGAGTGAGAGAGTAAGAGAGAGAGAGAGAGAGTAAGAGAGAGTAAGAGAGAGAATGAGAGAGTAAGAGAGAGAATGAGAGAGTAAGAGAGAGAGAGTGAGAGAGTAAGAGAGAGAAAGAGAGAGAGAGTTAGAGAGTAAGAGAGAGTGAGAGAGTAAGAGAGAGAGAGAGAGAGAGAGAGAGAGTGAGAGTGAGAGAAAGAGAGAGTGAGAGAGTAAGAGAGTGAGAGTGAGAGAGTAAGAGAGAGAGAGAGTGAGAGAGTAAGAGAGAGTAGGAGAGAGATAGTGAGAGAGATAGTGAGAGAGTAAGAGAGAGAGAGAGTATATATATATATGTGTATATATATTTACATGAATGGCTAAAATGCTTTGAACTAACAATTGCATGTAGATGAATAACACATACATGAAAAGATAAATAAAAGACTTGACCAGGTCACTCATCGTGCATGTGTTATCAACCACTTCAGTAGCATGTTAAATTAGGCTGTTCCTTTGGCTCTTGATGCTCATGCTTGTAAATCAGTCTGAATAAAAATAGACTTTATTTTTAATGTTGTGATTAAAGTTGCCATGTGATAGCCAACTGTGTACTTGATACAGAGTAAACCGCATAATGTGAAAAGAGCTTTAAGGATTAGCCATTTTTCCATCTCATGCCTGGCATGGTGACTCTGTTTGTGGTCCTTGAGGGTTTGTGATGAGGTGGACATAATGATGGTAAGGTGGTGGTACCAGAAGGTGCTTTTAAGTGAGCATGGTGGCAAAGTGATGACTACTACTTCAGACCATACACTCTTGCTGCTTCTGCTGTAGCCAAAAATATATACATTTTATATATTTGGGTATCAGCAAACTACCTCCCCCTACCCCTCACAAAGATGCACATTGCTCACTCCTGGGTCTTGATTTTTGTTGCCAGGTTCCTAAGGGTCTCTCAAAAGAAATTATCTACAACAGCAAGCAATTTCGTACACTCCTGGAGATGGGTTATAAGGTGAGAAAATAAGGCCATTCTTGAGTCTGGCACCTATCATGATAAAGGACATATTACTGTTTTTTTTTTTAATCTTATAGTACTTGTCTCAGAATTAATTAGAGATAATAATACTTCAGTGAATTTTTGTAAGTTTAAAATTTTGTTGTATGTATTTTTAAATTTAATGATTGCCAGATATAAGTTGCATTTATTACTCATCAGCAATGTCAAGAAGTAAAAGTTGCAAAGAATGGCATATTAGGAAGGTGCAGTGGACAAGCAGGGTTGCCAAGTGTGGTAGGTAGGCCCTCTTGTTGATGCACAAATTGTGATGCCATGCTCCTGGCAGACAAGATTTCTCTTTCCAAAGAATAGAGTCACAATATCGTGGCTGAAACATTTCTAAACTAACCTACAAATTGATAATGGAAATTAGATGACATTTGAGTTTGCTCTTGACATTTGTCAATAGTCAAGTGGCTTAATGATCCAGGGTGGAACAAAATGTCATTTTCACCCCATTTCCAATTTGTCAGTCAGTTGTGGAAAGGCCTGTCTCTCTATCTGCAGTACAGTATTTATTGTAATGCATTTTGCCTTTGTCCAAGAACTAGGGAAATATTTACAAGATGCATCTGAAGTTTTGTTCTTTGTGATGTACTTCTGGTGTGTAATGAAATAATAATTTTGTCAACAGGTGAAGGCTTTAGTGTGTATTATTTTGTGTGTTTGAAAGTTTTAATCAGTAGTATGGAAATGTTGGTTAATTTCAGTTAATTACTTTGACATAGGAGAAAAATATCTATATACAATTTGAAAAAAAATGACCTAAGGGATTCATGTAAATCAACTTGACAATTTTTTGTATGTTATGGATGTGTACTGTTGACATGTACATTAGTAGTTAGTACTGATGAAAGATAGACCTTAATGACATTTTATTTGTAAATGTGTCCCTGACAAATTTTATTAATTTCTTTTTTAAAATTAGTAGTTATTTCATAATACTGTGCAAAAAGACATTTAGCTACAAAATGTGAGTTACAAAGAAAGCCTGAGGGCAGTAGATATGTCATCATACGCTAAAATAACACACACACAAAGGAGAGTAGACATGATTAACAAGTGTAGGATTATTAAGTATGATAGAATTAATAAGGATTTCTTAACATGAACAGTAGAGAGAACAAGAGACTGGGGCTATCAGCTAAAAAAAAAAAAAAAAAAAAAAAAAAGAGTGCTGAAATCCCACTTGAAAGTCCTTGACAAACAATGTAACAGAACAAAGGAATGGCTTACAGAATAAGGTTGTAAATGCAACGAACACAGGACTTTTTAGGCTTCTAATCGTGTAGCTGTAAAAGGGTAATTACACACAGGTTTTTCTATTTGCACCAAAAATGTGCAGTAATTAAAGGAAAAATGCCTTGAGTGGGAAATGTCTTGCCAGAAATAAAAAATTTGAATACAAATGTAAATAATATAAATCTTTCTTTCAACACACCGGCCATATCCCACCGAGGCGGGGTGGCCCAAAAGGAAAAACGAAAGTTTCTCCTTTTACATTTTGTAATATATACAGGAGAAGGGGTTACTAGCCCCATGCTCCCGGCATTTTAGTCGCCTCTTACAACACGCATGGCTTACGGAGGAAGAATTCTGTTCCACTTCCCCATGGAGATAAGAGGAAATAAACACGAACAAGAACTAGAAAGAAAATAGCAGAAAACCCAGAGGGGTGTGTATATATATATATATATATGCTTGTACACGTATGTTTAGTGTGACCTAAGTGTAAGTAGAAGTAGCAAGACGTACCTGTAATATTGCATATTTATGAGACAGACAAAAGACACCAGCAGTCCTACCATCATGTAAAACAATTACAGGCTTCCGTTTTACACTCACTTGGCAGGATGGTAGTACTTCCCTGGGCGGTTGCTGTCTACCAACCTACTACCTAGAAAATAATATAAATGCCCAATACAAAATAAATAATCAAAATTACTATTGGTATAAATTAATAAGGGAATCTGGCATAGATCTTTGCCATACAATGGAAATGTAAGAAAAGTAACAATAGCCCAAATAAAAAAACAATGATAAATATAAACTCTATCAAAGTTAGGATATATAAACTGTCATATTTTGGTTATAAAAATCTCATTTCCTGGAGTCTTTTTCCCTCTCCCACAGCCTGGTCTCAGACCTGGCCTCCTAAATTAAATGAAGGCACTGTAAGAATAAAAATGAGGAACTGCACAAGTAAAGTGTGCACTAAATCTGAGTTATAAGTGGCAATTTTTAAGACTTGTATCTTAAGTGTTAGTGAGATGTTAAGAGAAAATTAGCAATCTTACCAGAGTGTAAAATGATTAACAGGGTTTCATTTCACACTTGAGACAGCATGGTAATTCCTGGGTGGCTCTTGTTTCAAAGATTGTTACTGCAAGATCACATAATTATAATCATAAGAAATTCGTATGCTTCACTGGCAGACTTTAAAATACCGTAGTTATTTGATACCTGGCTGGAGAAATATTGTAGTTATCTGATGCATGGCTGGAGAAATACTGTAGTTATCTGATACATGGCTGGAGAAATACTATAGTTATCTGATACATGGCTGGAGAAATATTGTAGTTATCTGATACATGGCTGGAGAAATACTGAGTTATCTGATACATGGCTAGAGAAATGCTGAAAAGCTAGTGAACACACATACTATGTTGTCTTATGCTCTTCTCTTACCACTTTTTTTTTTTTTTAATATTTCCCTCCATACACTCAGAATTCCTCATACAGTAGGGCCCCACTTATATGGCAGGTTAGGTTCCAGGCTACTGCCATAAAGCAAAAATTGCCGTTAAGTGGAACACACATTTTTTTCACTTATAAATGCATATAAATTCTAGATAACAAGTTTACACAAACATACAGTGGACCCTCAGTTAACGACATTAACCCTTTCAGAGTTGACAGGCCCTCTCCCAGACTTGTTCTCAGGGTCGACAAATTTTCAAAAAAAAAAAAAAAAAGAAAATTCTTATGAAAAGATAGAGAATCTTTTCCTGATCATAATGACACCAAAAGTATGAAATTTGATGGAAAACTTAGAATTATGCTCTCGCGAAGTTAGAGGTCTTGACGATGTTTACGCATCGGCGATTTTGCCCAATTTGAGCCCCATTTTTGGCCAATTCCAGTGTACTAGTTGACAAAAATCATAACTATTTCGCTAGAACTCCATTTTTTCTATTGAATGAGTACAAGAAACCCCCCATTTACCAATTTCAACTATCCAATAAAGTGGTCAGAATTTAGCAATTTTGCCAATTTCACACAAATTTCAAAAGATGCCAATTTCCAAATAGGGTCCAGAATAAACAAGAAAGACATTCCTGGCACTAAAATAACATTTCCTCTGTTTATTAGTCACATCCCCATGCCACTCTTACCTTCTTTTGCTTTCCACTTTGAATTTTTATTCTCACAAAAAATAGAAGATTTACTGTTATTCAAACTACTGCATTAGTGTAGAAATGGTACGTATAAATAATGTCAGCGCACTTGTGAAAGAATATTAGACTCACCAGTTGATGTGTATTGGACACGTAGCATGATTTGTTTACTTTTGAACTTTGGCAAAAATCGAAGATTTCTGCTACTTTGTGCTCAATTTCAAGGTACTTTTCATTGTAAAACCAATCAAAGTCATCTCAGTTTCTGTAATATGTCTTCCATTCTATGAAATGAGACCAGGAAAACTAGAATACAGCAATAAATGCCATACGAAAATACAGTGCAAAATCGCTGTTTTAAACCAAAAACACTGTCAAAGTTTTTTTCTCTCATTACGCACTGTGTGCTGCAGGATTTTTTTATACTGCGCACACTGACCACATAGACCCATTGTTTCATATGTAGGCCTACCAGCTTTCTCTCACTAGATTTGAGGGCGCTAGAATTTAGGCATACTAGTACGTCAAAAACCCTGGTGTGTAAGCCGTACAAGTACGTCAGATCTATTAAATATTTATTAAATAAGTGTCATATCTACTACAAATATTCCTTATTATTTCTGTTTATTAGTCACACTTAAAAATATTGTCATTTACATTTTCGCTTTAATCTCTCTCTCTCTTTTTTTAAGAACAAAATTATCTTTTTACTGAAACCCTGAAAGGGTTAATCTGTTCCAGAGAGCTTGTCTTTAACCGATTGTCGTTATCCGAATTTATTTTCCCCATAAGAAATAATGGAAATTCAATTAATCCATTCCAGACACCAGAAAGTATTCAACAGAGTAATTTTTTTTTACATGAAATATACATTTGCCTACACAGAAAACAATGAGACATGCAGAACATTTTTTTTTTTTAACAAGTCGGCCGTCTCCCACCGAGGCAGGGTGACCCAAAAAGAAAGAAAATCCCCAAAAAGAAAATACTTTCATCTTCATTCAACACTTTCACCTCACTCACACATAATCGCTGTTTTTGCAGAGGTGCTCAGAACACAACAGCTTAGAAGCATATACGTATAAAGATACACAACATATCCCTCCAAACTACTAATATCCCGAACCCCTCCTTTAGAGTGCAGGCATTGTACTTCCCATTTCCAGGACTCAAGTCCGGCTATATAAAAATAACCGGTTTCCCTGAATCCCTTCACTAAATATTACCCTGCTCACACTCCAACGGATCGTCAGATCCCTAATACCATTCGTCTCCATTCACTCCTATCGAACACGCTCATGCAATGCCTGCTGGAAGTCCAAGCCCCTCGCCCACAAAACCTCCCTTACCCCTTCCTTCCAACCTTATCGAGGACGACCCCTACCCTGCCTTCCTTCCCCTACAGAATATATACATATACATTATTATTTTTTTTTTCAACAAGTCGGTCGTCTCCCACCGAGGCAGGGTGACCCAAAAAAGAAAAAATCCCCAAAAAGAAAATACTTTCATCATCATTCAACACTTTCACCACACTCACACATTATCACTGCTTTTGCAGAGGTGCTCAGAATACAACAGTATACATTATATACATTATATACATTAATAATAAAATAACACTTACCCTTATTGAAGACATTTGATGAGATGGGAGAAGGGCAGAGGATGGAGGAGTTTACAATTGTTTGGAAGGGGAATCCCCTTCCATAAGGACTTTAAGTACCAAGTCCTTTTCCTGGGTTACCTCCCTTCTTTGTTTTTTTAATGCCACCAGGACCAGCTTGAGAGTCACTGGACCCCTGTCGCACCAAAAATCTGCTCAGAGAGCTCTGTTTCTGGTGTGTCTTTAAGATTTCCCTAAAATGAGACACAACATTGTCATTGTAGATGTTGCCAGCATGGCCTGCAACAGCTGTGTCAGGGTGATGTTCATCTATAAAGGTTTGCACTTCAGTCCATTCTTCACAAATATCCATAATCTTTGAAGAAGGTAACTTCCTCCATCTCTCTTTCCCCTCTGATGGAAATTCCTGAGCTGTGGTCTGTTGCTGTTGCACCTCAAGCCCTTGCAGCTCTGTAGTGGTTAGCTCTTCATCTTCGTCCTCCACCAACTCTTCCACATCCTCGCCACTAACCTCCAACCCCATGGACTTCCCCAGTGCCACAATAGATTCCACAACTGGCATAGGCTCCTCAGGGTCAGCCCCAAACCCTTCAAAATCCCTCTCTTGTACACATTGTGACCACAATTTTCTCAAATCAAAGTTCAAACTCCTGCAAGTCACTTCCTCCCAAGCCTTACTTATAAGGTTTATGCAACTGAGGATACTGAAGTGCTCTTTTCAGAACTCTCTTAGGGTCAGTTCAGTGTCTGAGGTCACTTTAAAGCACTTTTGAGACACTGCTTTGGTGTACAGTTTTTTGAAATCTGAAATGACCTGCTGGTCCATGGGGTGGAGGAGAGGAGGGGTGTTAAGGGGCAAAAATTTCACTTTGATGAAACTAAACTCCCCCACAATTTGCTCTTCCAAGTCTGGAGGATGAGCAGGAGCGTTGTCCATTAACAGGAGGCACTGGAGTGGCAATTTATTTTCCAGGAGGTATTTTTTCACACTGGGGCCAAACATGTCATAGAACAAATAGAGGAAAATGTCCCTAGTGACCCATGCCTTACTGTTTGCTCTCCACATCACACAGTTTAGTCTTGATGACACTGTTTTTCTTGAACACACTGAGAGTTTCAGAGTGATACACGAGTAGAGGCTTCTCTTTGCAAACCCCACTTGCATTACTACAAAACATGAGAGTTAGCCCGTCTTTCAAAGGCTTGTGTCCTGGGAGTGCCTTTTCCTCCTGTGTAATGTAGGTCCTGTTTGGCATCTTCTTCCAAAACAGGCCTGTTTCATCACAATTGAACACTTGCTGGGATTTTAATTGTTCAGCCTCTATGTACCCCTTAACCCTTAAACTGTCCAAACGTAGATCTACATTTTTTTCAACATTTGAAAGTACAGCAGGGCCCCACTTATACGGCAGGTTAGGTTCCAGGCTACCGCCGTAAAGCGGAAACCGCCGTAAAGTGGAACAACCTTTCTTTCCACTTATAAATGCATACAAACACTAGATAACAAGTTTACACTAACATATATTAAGTTAGCAATAGAACCAGGCATCAAAAAACAATAAAAAAGTACAATACACGCATAGTGCACTCATTACTTACCTTAAAATATTTATAGTCTTAATCTAGGGTGAGACAAGTAGTATTTATTGTAAGAAATCAAGTGTGGTATGTATGGTAATCAGCCAGGCTACCTTACCAGGCCACCCCACCCACACATACTATTCTATGATATTTAAGCATCCCAGAGCGATAAAATGTATATACAGTTCACTCATTACTTACCTTAAAATATTTGTAGTCTTAATGTAGGGTCAGGAGTAAGTAAATGAGATCAAACGAATAAATGAGAGAGAGAAAGAATGAGTACATGAGAGGGGACAGGCGCAGAGTTATGTAAACAAACCAGGCGAACATAAGTTTTGTATACAAACGAAGTGTACACGTCTGGTTTGTGTACAAGTTACATTGTGTACAGGTTGTCTCTACATTGATACGGTAGAATTAATAAAGAAGAACACTCCCATTCTCATGTAACATCATTTGAGAAGAAAATGAAGCTCTGAGTGAAGGCATGGAAATAAGTCACACTGACTTTTTTGGGTTATCCTAGGTTCTCTACACATATGTTGTTATGTATGATAATCTATGTAACTGTATTTGTGTATACCTGAATAAACTTACTTACATACATACGAAAGGAATAATTTGCTACAGTTACCCCCAGTAACACATTTTCTCTTATGTTAGATTAGAGAAAATGTTATTCTTGCCGTTACTTGTACAAGTTATCTGGCTCCCACGTCTTACATTTATGTTTATTTATTCTATTGTGGGGTGTATTTATCATCTTTTTATGTTATGTATCGTGTTTATTATATAATTTTGAAAAAAATATCATGGATGGATTAATGAAAATGTGTATATTACCGTAATATACGACATTTAATGAGACTCGGTGAGTATTGTTATTATTATTATTATCATTTCTAATATGGCGTCACTTGTGCAAGTCGTCTGCTACCACATCTCACATTTATGTTTATTTATTCTACTGTTGGGTGTATTTATCTTATTTATATGTTATGCATCGTGTTTATTATATAATTTTAAAAAAAATATCATAAGATGGATTAATGAAATGTGTTTATTAACGTAATATATGACATTTAAATGACTCGATGATTATTATTATCATTACTAATATGACGTCTGGAGACATAAGACACTTACCGATTTTAATGTGTACCTGCATGCCAGCACAGTATGTAAGTTTATTTAGGTACAGGTATACATAAGTATAATTATCAGAGTATATATAAAATATGAAATAACTTTTAAAAACATTTGAAATTTTGGAGTTTCCAGACAAAATGGAGAGACTTAGTGCTTACTGAGCTCACGGAGAATGTAAACAAACAGGGTGGGGCACGGTGACCGTATTAGAAAGTCAGGTGGGGGGAGCCGTATAGCGAGTTTTGGTCATAATTTGAAATGACCGTATTAGCGGAACGCCATAAAGTGAAACGCCGTAAAGCGGGGCCCTCCTGTATGTAAAAAAAAGTAGATCTTTTTTTTTTTTTTACATTTGAAAACATGTAAAAAATTTTGATCAACCTTTTTTTTTTGTTATATTTGAAAATATGTAAAAAAAAATGTAGATCTACTGTTGGAGCACTACACATGTGAACGTAGATCTGCTTGGACAGTTTAAGAGTTAAGGACCTGCACATATTTTTTAGCCGCTTTTTTGTCAGAACTGGCAGCCTCACCATGGCTTATCACACTGTGTATGCCACTACGATTTTTAAATCTCTCAAACCAAACTTTGCTGGCTTTAAATTCAAAAATATGAGCAATAGTTCCAGGCATTTTCTTAATGAGATGATCATGCAACTGCTTTGCTTTTTCACATGTAATTGACTGTAAAACACTATTTCCTGATA